CCATGAGTGAATTGAGTGATTATATAAATGTCATAATAAATAAATAAATAAATAAATAAATAAATAAATAAATAAATAAATAAATAAATAAATAAATAAATAGATAAATCTGTAAGCTGTGCCAGTACCTGAAAATAAGGCAAAAAAGGATGAAGCTTCATTAGAAGATCAAATGCCAAAGTCTTTACTTCCTCAAAAGTGCTGGCAAAACAGTGCAACAAACTTTCGGCACGAGAACAATCAACTTCTTGGGCTATTTGAAATAACTCTTGGCTTTGGCCTATTAAAAATGGAAATATTTACAAAAACAGCTGGTTTGGAGCATGGCTGAAAAAACAACCACCAACAACCATAAGCAATATTCCTTCTAATGCATCTTATTATCTGGAATTACTTAACATTTTAAAAATCCTAAATTTACTGTATTATATGATAGACTATAGAATGAAAAAGCTTTCTTATGCAGTAGGGAAACGCTACACGGTATTGTCAATAACAGGAAAACAATATCTCATGGTTATACCATTTCTGGTTTCAAAGGAACCTAATATGAGAATTATAACAATCTTCAGGGTCTTTCCATGTATACTTCTTAGTGTTGCTTATTTGACATCCATAACAACAGCTACAATAACATATGCATATGCACATTCAGACTTGCATGTTCAGATGATTTTTTTTATATCAGCTGCTGATATTGAAATCAATATGTATTTATTGCAGAAGGATCTTAGCCTTTATGAAGCCATCTATTTTCCACTTCCAGGTAACTAATAGTTAGGGAAAAGCATAAAACTAGGCTGTCAATGAAGAATTCTCAGTCATCTACTAGAATTGTCTAGAGTCTGAAGCATGTCAATTCAAATAGAGAACCATAAAATAAACAATAGCTTCTTTCTCAGACTTATTTCTGATGAAAACAGTTATCACTTTTGAGTGGATAAAAGGGCAACTTAAACCAGGGGAGGGACCCTCCAGCATGTTTATAACCTCAGGTGATAACATTATATCATCCAAACACAGTTATTATCATCTAATATAAAAATGTTCATATCCTTTAACAATTTTATTTTTGGGATGAACAAATATTTTAAAACTGTTACATCAGCTTTAGTATTTCCTGGAAAATCAATTTAATATAATTTGGTTCTTTAAGGTAAGCTACCTTCTGAGTTAGGAAATATGTCAGCTATTGTTCCCAAAAGAGTCAGTGCAGTAAATCTGCTTGGATGGGATGAGCCAGGAAACAAGGATTCAAAAAGTATACTGCAGATGGAAGAGATGAAATCCTAAAGATAAAACAGCAATTACATTTTTACCTGCGATAATGATCAAATACAATTTTACTTTGGAAGAGGAGTACATTTTCTAAATCTATGCATATAGATAGATGATTGTGGAGAAACTGTCAAGATAGCTGGAGAGAGGGGCCAAATAAGCGGAAGCATGACTTCCCCAAAAAATTCATGAAATCTTATCTGGATATTGCCAGGAGAAGTCAAGCAATCTGCTGAGATTCTTGTAACATAGGAGACAAACAATAAAGTTTCAGCCTGAGACTACTCATGAGTGGATCTGGCTGCTTGCGCCAGACAACACCATATACTGTGTTTCCCTGAAAATAAGACAGGGTCTTATTTTATTTGGCCCCACAAAATATGGCCGTGGGCTTATTATAGGGGAGGGCTTATTGTTTTGGGGTTACGGGCAGCTGCTCCCTTGCGAACTGGCTCCCGAAGAGCCGAGCACAGCCTCAGGGGCGAAGCAGCCATGAGGTGACCATGCTCAAGAGCAACTGCCCAGCAAACCCCCACTCGAGCAGAGCGCCATTCACTGACTTAGGGGGTATCCGTAAGGCGCCAAGGCACATGGCACTCCACCCGTTCCCGCGGCTTAGCACATTCAGGATACCCTCTAGGTCAGTGCATTGAGTTCTGCCCGGCTGGAGAGGGGGGTTGCCCAAGCGCCTGTTCCGCCCCCGCCGCACTCCGAGCATAACTTCTCTGGTTTCCAAACTCCAAAACTCGGCTGCCGAATCTTCCAGCAGTGGCCACTCTAGGAGTTCTCTCTATGGTTGTGGGCCGGCTGCCGGACAGAGAGTCTTCCAGCAGCCAGCCCACAACCATAGAGCGCACTCCTAGAATGGCCGCTTCTGGAAGACTTGGCAGCTGAGTTTTGGAGTTTGGAAGCCGGATAAGAAGTTATGCTCAGAGCGTGGGAGGGGCGAAACAGGCACTCGCGCAACCGTCCTCTCCAGCCGGGTAGAGCTCCATGCACTGTCCTAGGGGGTATCCCGAATGTGCCAAGCTGCAGGAGCTGGAGAGCGGGAAAGTGCCATGTGCCTTGGTGCCTTACGGATACCCCCTAGGTCAGTGAATGGTGCTCTGCTCGGCTGGAGAGGGGGTTTGCCAGTGTGGTCACCTCATGGCTGCTTCGCCCCTGAGGCTGTGCTCAGCTCTTCAGGAGCCAGTTCGCAAGGGAGCAGCCGCCTGGCAACTCCCCCCTCTGGCCAGGCAGAATGCCACTCCCCAACCTAACGGTATCCCGAAGGCACCAAGCAACGTGACCGCCTTTCCCCCCCGGGCTCCCATGGCTTGGCACCTTCAGGATACTGCTAGGTCGGTGAGCGGTGCTCTTCCTGGCTGGAGGAGGGATTGTCCAGGGGGCTTTTTTTCAGAGGTGGGCTTATATTTTTGCCCACACGAAAAATGTGGCAAGGTGTTAGTTTCAGGACAGGTCGTATTTTCAGAGAAACATGGTATGTATTGATAATATGAGATTTTATATGATTTGTAAGTGAGGACTATGGAGTGGATGCATAAAAGTTTGGTAACCAAAGTCCCATATTTATAAAATATGGGACTTATCAGTGGTTAGATAAAGACTTTTATAA